GGTAAGCTATGTTAATTCGTTATCTGAGGACAATCGTGGTCTAAAGGTCTTTAAGACCCGAATTTAGGTCCCTAGGCTTGGTGGTTTGCGAGAAGTGATTCTGACGGAGGCCCATAAATCAAGATTATCCATCCACCCAGGAAGTACTAAGATGTACCATGATTTACGCATAGATTATTGGTGGCCGRGAATGAAAACGGACATCGGGTGTTACGTTGAAAAATGCATCACATGTCTGAAAGTAAAAGCAGAACACCAGAAGCCATATGGGAGTCTTCAACCTCTTAAGGTCCCCGTATGGAAATGGGAGGAGTTAACTATGGATTTGGTCACCAAACTGCCAAATACTTCTCGGCAGCATGATAGTATATGGTTATCGTTGATAGGCTGACTAAATCAGCGCTATTCCTTCCTGTCTGGGAATCGTACTCCATGGATCGTTGGGCTCAGTTATATGTAGACGAAGTTGTTGCTCGACATGGAGTGCCTGTGAAAGTTGTCTCTGATCGTGACACTCGATTTACTTCCAACTTTTGGACTGGTTTTCAACGTGAGTTGGGTACATGACATGCGTTTAGCACGGTTTATCATCCTCAAACCGATGGTCAATCTGAACGTACCATTCAGACCCTCGAGGATATGTTACGCGCATGCGTTCTAGAATTCGRTGGTAACTGGGATGCCYARTTACCCTTAATCGAGTTCTCTTATAATAACAGCTATCATTCGACAATCGGCATGGCTCCTTTTGAGGCTTTGTACGGACGTAAGTGTCGTACGCCTCTTTGTTGGAGGGGAATTGGAGAGAAAGTGTTGACGGGGCATGAGCTTGTGCAAATTACAAGTGATAAGATTCAAGTGATTAGAGAAAGAATGAAAGCGGCCTAGGATCGACAAAAGTCTTACGCGGATCGTCGCAGAAGGCCGATCGAGTTCTCGGTCGGTGATCTAGTAATGCTGAAGGTTTCTCCGTGGTGTGGTGTACTCCAATTTAGAAAACAAGGTAAACTCAGTCCATGTTTTATCGGTCCCTTCAAGATTATCGAACGGGTCGGGAAACAAGCTTACCGTTTAGAGTTACCCAAAGAATTAGCGGGTATACATGATGTTTTCCATGTCGGTTATTTACGAAAATGTTTGAGCAAACATGAGGAAGTGGTGCCATTGTCGGAAGTTAAGATAAATGAAAAGTTTCGATATGCCGAAGAGCCAGAAAGTATCTTGAAGGAGCGGACAGTGAAATTGCGCAATAGAGAGGTAGATTTGGTATTAGTGAAGTGGAAACGTCATCACGGGTCAAATTGGACGTGGGAACGCAAGGACGAGATGATGGCTAAGTACCCTTCATTAATTCCACAACCATGATTTCGGGGACGAAATCTTCAAAAGGGGGAGGTATTTGTAACATCCAACTTACGAAAAGCCCATTTAAGTTGCTAAGCATGTCTAATTAAATTAGCATAGTATTTTAAGGATTAGTACTTACTTAAGTTAGAAAGGAATATGGGCTTCTGGATCGAGTTAGAGGCTGAAATTTTACATTTAAGCCTCTTATACATCAATTATGAGATCTGGAAAGTTTCGTACGAAACGGAGATGAAACGACCAAGATACGCATGAGGGACTAAATCTGCCAACTGTGTCAAACTAGGTTGACTTGTTGACCAAATTAGTACAAAAACGAGATTTTTACCCTTTAATGGTATTTTTTTTCACTCCAGATCATTCACACACACTGGAAGGTGCGATTTACACCCACTTAAGGCTAATTCCTCAATCCTTGATGATCCACGTTAGATTCTTGAAGATTAAGTATTAATCATCAAAGGTATGTTCCTAATTACAAGTTTATTTCAAGTAGAAGTGTTAAATTAGAGGCTAGGTTCTGCATTAGATAGATTATAAAAGGTAATGTTGATTAATGTGTGA